TTTCTTGCCAAAAGCTAATATTCATGCCAGTGTTTTTGCATTTTTCTCTTATAAAACATAACACAGAAGTATTTTTAAAAGTATTTAATATGGAAAGTACATTTATAGGTACTTCAGAAGTGTTGTGGTGGCAACTGTTGGCTGTCACAAACAAATCTCTCTTTATCTGCTATATTGCCAATCAGAAGAGCCTATTGTGTTACTTTTGTTCTGAGGAGGTTCCTTCTCAAAGCAGGGTTTTAAGAGTGTCTGTTTAATGTATAATATAACCTTTCTAAAAAGCACACAAAAGCCTTTTAAAAAACGTATTTCAGAAGAGGAATCTAAGTCAAGAGCCCTTCTTGCATCATAGTTTATTAACCATCTCACACAGCTCAGGAGCTATCAGGTTGGTCACTATGTGAAGGATTAGGTAAATTAAAGAATATGACTGGAATATTGTAGAAGCTCTTATCCATGGATGTGATTTAAGACAGTAAGGGTATAGACATCATGGATTTATTATTCATATTCCCGTATTAGTAGAAACACTTTAGAACCATCTGAGTTGCAGAAACAGGCAAACCAGTTTGCCTTGTCTGAAAAAAAACCAGCTTGCAAGAAAACCAGCAGGCATAACAGGAGGTCAGCCTGACTGAATGGGGAAAACCTAACTAAGCTCAAATGCAAAAAGGGAGCATATGGAAAGCGTAAGTGGGTAGGGACTACCAGAGAGAAATACAGATGCACTGCCTGGGCACACAGGGATGAAAATAGGAAGGAGAAAGTGTGTGTAGATTAAAAACTGGCAAGGAGTGTGCAGGGTAACAAGAAAGGCTTCTGTAGTCACTTTGGCATCAAAAAGATGACCAAAGAAAATGTAAGCCCACTGCTGAGTGGGGTGGACAACCCTGTGACGAAGGACATAGAAATGGCTGAGGCCTTTTTTTTGCCTCAGATTTTACTGGAGGATCTGCTTTTGGGCCTCTCATGCCTCCGTGTCTAATAGCAAAAGTCCTACCAGTGGTTCAGGAGCACTGAGTCAGGGACTAGTTAAGTATGCTGACATATGAAGTCATCCCGTAGGACCTGATGGGATGCATCCAGAAGTGCTGAGGGAGCTGGCTGATGTCAATGCCAAGGCTGTTTTTTATCATCTTTAACATAGCACTTGACAATCCTGTAAACAACTAGACTGAATAGACCCTGAATAAATAAGGCAGCAAAAATTAATTCCAGTCGTCAGAGAGCTAAATAAGAGCTGTCAGTCAAAAGCAAAGCAGCAAATGCCCATACTATAAAACTTCCACCAACTGCACCTATGAACTGGTATCTGTAATAGCAAAAGAGGAATGAGCTGACTATAACGACATCGGGCAGGCAAATAGGAGTCTTCAAATAAATAAGAAGTGTATTCACTGCCAAAGAAGATTTTTCAGATGTTCATCTGGAAGCTACCAGGAGCAGGAAAGGCAAACAAAGAAAAAAACGTTCCACAACTTCTTAATCACAGACATTTAGAAATAAAGATCCGCACACTGTCTTGCAGTGTCATTTCCAAAACTGGTATCATTCATCCCATGAAGAGTTGTGTATTTGTCCAATCTCTCCAGTCAATTGTACATCCAAGTATGGACAGTTACTAAATCATATCACTTCGCATTAATCAACATTTAAACTTGAAATCAAGCTGCGGGCAATCAGGTAACACAGAGAGGGAGAGTGCATGACTAATTGTCAGCCTACACATTTCCTTACCGTTAGCTATTGACAATGAATTGCAAAAATGCAGAATTCCTTTTCCAATTATTTTTTGCTAACTAAAGCTGACAGCCTCATAAAAACACTGCCCAGCTGTGAATCTATGGAAGACACACTGACTGTAAACAGAAAACCACTCGAGTGGAAAAAAACTCCTGATCAAAGGGTGAGCAAGGGCAAAACAAACTCTGACCTTGGAATCCCCGCAAGGAGCTCTGAATTATTTTAATAACAACTCTATGCATTGCACTATAACACTGAACTATTTGGGAAATGCATGCAGAATAGAAATAGTATTGCAAATGGCAGTGAGAAATATTTAGCAAATGGTAGCGTAGACTGCCCAGAAATAGAGGAAAGAGATGGAAGCAAAAGTAAAGGGTTATGTTTTGGACCCGCTGAGCTGTTCAGTTCCTAGTTTTAAACCACAAAAGTTTTGAAGCACATGTTCATCTTAAAAGAGGCTAATATCCAATCAAACATGTTTGATTCATATATCTAAAGTCATACATACAATAAAATGCTTTTGTAGACTGGATGCTCAGTACCTTCTAAAACCAAGCTCTTTACCTGGTTCATTTAATAAGGAGATTTCTCATTTTTTAATGTCCTTTAGTCAAATGTTCTGTTGCATAACTAATATATATGAATAATACACTAATGGAGAAATGCTGTGAGAGAGAAACCAATCTTTTCAAAGACCAGTTTTAAAGTAGTGTTGTCCAATGGAAGTTAGTTTAATAATTATTGATAAATCTCTTTATTAGCAAGTCAAAGAGACTAACCTCCCCACTAATCCATCCCTCTGTGTCAGCAGGGGGTTCACTGCTCCCCACCAGAGTCTGTCCAAAGGAATTCTTCATTTGGCCTGACAAAGGGAAGCAGAAACCTCTGGCAGAGGAGGGAAATTCCTAAAACGGATCTGCCACTGACAGAACAGGCTTATTCTGGAAATCTCTGTCCCTCAGCTGCTAGTTCCCATGCCCCAGCTGGGGATTCCCACTGTCCTGTTGTGTGACAAAAGCCAAGCCAACTGTTCATGGAGCCACTCAACCCGAGTGGGTGGAGTCCGCAGCAGGGGGCAGGACATCTGTCTCACTGTCAGTTTCATATTGATTATCATTTGTTCTTACAAGACAATATTAATCATCTTAATTAAAAGTCTTTATGGGTTTCTCAGATAATTAATTCACTGTATATGTAAAAGTCAAATGTTTATGTTCACATAAAAAAAAAAATCTGCCTCACCTCCCATTTTGGCAAATCTCAGCCCCAAACAATTCTCAAATTTCTTTTTTTCTTTAAGGCTTCACACACTTCTCTGTGAAAAGGGCAATGCTGCAGCTACTGCCACTAAGACACCCGCTGCCTGTGACCCATTATCTAACTAAACTACTGTCCCTCAGGCCTATTCGTAGCTCAAAGCAGGGAGGAGAGAGAGAAGAGCAAAAGAATCTCTTTCAGCTGAAAATTGCCAGCTTCCTTGCAAGGTCAGAGAGTGACTTCCCTCCAGGAGAAGCTACAGCAAGGATTGTACTGAGCTGAGTATCTGAAAAACTTTGAGGCACTTGCTGCTCCTCAGCCTTCTTTTTAAGCAGCTAAAACTGCAAGACAGACACAGTTTTTTTACACACCAGGAGCTTTTGGTTAAGAGACACAAAATACATCCCATTACAAGCACAGCTCTGCAGTCTATCTGTTCTACCTGGAATTTCCCAATGCCTTCTCTGTTTGGACTATGCTTCATTTTATGGCACAATAAACGTATTTCATTTGCAAGGGAGAAAACAGCACTACATTGTTCTGCTGGGAAACAAGGCGTGGACCAATCCACTCCTGTACTGCATTTCTGTGTATGTTTGATATGCCTTTGAAAATATGGGGCATTGTGCTTATGGGAAAATCATAAGAAAATAATTCCAAACAGATATATTTATTAAAAGCTGAGAAGCTATTTAAACCCTTCTTGTGCCCAATACCTGCAGGAGTGATCTGAATTACAAGCATTACCAGTGTTCTGCCAATGGCATTGAGTGGTACATACACAATTAGGCAGGACAGCGCTACACTGGAAGCTGTAGGGCATTCACATTTTTAAAATCGGGATCTGTAGCCAAGAAAGAATAGTGCATCATCCTTTTTCATACCTGCCCTGGGGGAAAATGTTAAGAGATACTAGCATCTATTATCAAATCAAATAGAGTTCAGTTCCATTCATGTCATTCCTATACTATTTAAGTGTACTTAAAAAAGCAACATCAGAGGTCAGACCTTATATTTGAAAGAAAAAACCTTAAACTGTATTAAAAATAGTACAAAGCTTGTCTAGACACATTTAGAAAAAAAATGATCATTCTTTTATGAAAGAAGGGTAGACAGAAATAAATAAAAAGATGAGAAAATTGGTTTTCCAGTACTGTGTAAAACTAACTTGCGTGCCCCACTGATTTTCAAGGTATACTGAAGATATTCTTTCAGCAAACCAAGCTGCTCCCAAACGGCTGTGTGCACAGTAGGATGCTTTTTGCCTATGTCCATTCCTACTTCAGTTTTTATAGGGAGTGGGACTTCAGCTGCTGGAAACAAACTCTGGAAACCTGTGGACAAGCAGCAGGTAAGGCTGGGAAAGGTCTGTAGCAGAGACGAATTTGCTGGTACGTTTTCCTGTGTTGCTTGGCAAGGAGAGGGTGAAATCACCCTTGTATTAGGAGGTGCTCCTTTCTGTATAAATATTTAAAATCATAATGAGCCCTGTGCTATTTCCTTTCACTACTAGCTGAAATACTGTGGCAACTCCCGCCTGCTTCCAGCAATTATTCAAGTTGCTCTCTTTTGGGAAAAGCTGAAAAAAGCTTGTGGGGGGGTGGTGGGGGGGTGCAGGGGCGGTTGTTACCGCTTTGCCTGTGGTGGCTGGATACAACCTCCTGCGGGCTGTGCTGCTGAGAGCCTTCCCGGGCCCCCCTCCGGACACCGGGGAGAGCCGGGGTCCGCTTGGGAGCCGAGCCGGGCCGGGCTGGGCTGGGCTGGGCTGGCTTCGATCCCGGCGGGTGGGCGTCG